AATTTGGGTTTGCAGGTTTTGTGACTGAAATCTCCAGGTTTTCTTGGGGTCGGGTGGGCTACCTCCCCCCCACCTCCCTATATTTCCGGAAGCCTCGGCAGTCACATCCACACCCCAAAGCTGCCACCTAGTCGAAACTGCTACTCCAGCCTTACCGTCCTCATAAAAATACTGACTGCCCTGAGCAAAACACCATCCCCTCTTAGTACCCGTATTGCAAACCGTAACGCTCAAAAGGAGAGAGAGAAGAAAAGTCCGTGCCACAGAGGCATGGCAGGCTTGGGGAGGGTGCTGGGGGGTGGCAGGAGGGAATCTGGGAACTCTGGCGGTGTGAGGCCCCAGAGCAGGCTCCTCAGAAGGCATGAGAGGCTGCAGCCAACATTAAGTCTCAGCGAGGCCTCAGTTTCTGTTTCCCCGGAGCAGGACCTGCAGTTGCTGGTAAACTCCCAGTTGAGTAATGTGCCGAGATAAGGAACTGGGCAGTTGGATCTGGCCAGTCATGAGGGGTCACTCACAGTACCCTCCTTAGAAACGGTTACTAGGCATTATCTAATTGCTGACCACCATTGTCATAGGGCCGATGCCAAAACAGACCAGTACATAAATTGCTTCTTAACTCTGAGCCCTATCTAAACCGCTCGTGATTTGGACTCGGGGTCCCTGTCAAGACTCCACTGCGTTGGATGAGACTTGAACCCTAGCTCGGGCTAGCGCTGGCTCGGGCTAGTCATCAAGTCCTTTGCTTTTGCATTATCGTGTGTGGTCTGGGTCTCTCCGCAGCTGGGGATCTGAAACTCGGGCACGACAGCGGTGGGAAACGTCCACTGGTGGAAGGTTGGGTGCTGGATCATTGTACGACTGAAACCCAATCATGAGCAGCTTTGGAATGGTCTATCTCATGGATATTCAATTAAAATTAAAAAAAAATTCTCCTGGAGTATGTCTGCGGTGGGGAGAGTCAGTGGGAGAAGGAAACCTGGGCCCAACCCCAGCATATCCTCCACCCCGCCAGCACCACCCATGAACAGCCCCTGAGACCCCCAGAGACGACCCAACCTCCTTCTCCCCAAGCAAGCAAAGACGCCTTTCTTAGTTTCTGAAAAACCAGGTAGAACTATTCACCCTTTTTCTACAGTGAAAAGAATTCCAGTGGGAGAGTGGGATGAAATCATGGCTCCATCCAGAGCACAGGAACAGCCCCCAGAAAACTAACCGATGTGGAAGACAGACACAAAGGGAAGGTGCGGGTCGCCCCCCCCCCCCCACCGCTCCCGTGGCCCAAGGACCAACCTCCCCCCTCACCCGTTTCCTTCTGCCAAGAGATTCAAGTCCTAAGCTGTCACCCGCCTTAAAGAAAGGCGTGAGCAGACGATCGTGTACTATTTCACACAGGTCCACTGTACGTGGGACACACGTCAGGCCACCGACCCTGGAGAGAAAACACCCATTTCAAGCCACAGTGACTCTGGGTTCACACGTCTGGCCTGAAGCTCGCTGGGCAGGACGCTTGCCTTGATCATGGCTGGCCCTCGTTTGATCCCCAGCAGGACATAGGGTCCCCAACCATCACCAGGAGTGACCCCTGGGCACCACCAGGTGTGGCCCGGCCACAACCCCCAAATAAATAAAACACAGCAGGAACCTCGGCTGAGTAAGGCCTGTGGAAGCCGCTAATCCCAGGTACCAGGGAGCCGCTCTCCTTCCACATGCAAATCCTCCAGCCGCACACAATTGCCCCATTCTCACCAGCACACCACCGTTCCTGGAGGACAGCCCAGCTCCCCGCTGCTGACCAGACCTCAGCTCCCTTGGGCGGGGCCAAGCTCTCAGGCTGCCCTACCCCCTGCTCTGCAGAAGCAGCTGGAAACAGGCCGGGGCCACCCACTCACCCTCAGAGGGGCAAACCACTGGCCGGGACAGCCTGTGCCGGCCTCTTGCGGTGCATCACTCCCGTCTCCAGCAACCCCGAAGGCTGCTTTAAAGGACAGGGGCCGCATCAGGGGTGCTTGGGACGGAGCCACTCCCACGTGCTGGACCAGGCACCTGCTCCAGTCACAGCCCAGCCTGCAGGAAACCCAGAGATCTCGAAGCACCAGGGCTGGGAGCTGAGGGGACGCCTCCACCAGGGCCCCAACCTCCCCAAACGGTGGCCTCTGCTGTTCCCAGCCCTGATTCCTCCTCCGGGGGCAATGGCTGCAGTCACCGCCACAGCTGCACCACGGATGGGCTGTGGCCACTGCACTGTTCTCGGGAAGGACGTCCGGCCACACTGAACGGACAGTCCCCACGTACTGCGCCCTCGCCAGTGTGTGGGAGCCCATGCTCCCCAGAACAAACCCTTCCAGATATGCGCGGACAAGGCCAGGGGCCCCCACAACGAGGGGCTCAGAAGCAAGTGGAAACCAGTTGGTGATAGTTCCGGAAATAACAGAGGGGCCCAGGTCGGAAGGAAGAAAGGAAGGAAGGAGGGAAGGAGGGAAGGAGGGAGGAGGGAGGGAGAGAAGGAAGAAAGGAAGGAAGGAAGGAAGGAAGGGAGGGAGGGAGGAGGGAAGGAGTGATGGAGGGAGGGGAGGGAAGGAGGAAGGAGGGAGGAAGGGAGGGAAGGAAGGAGGGAGGGAGGGACCAGGTTTCGGATGCTGGGTAGAGGCGGGCTCAGTGGGCAGCGCAGGCCAGGAGGGCTAAGAAGGGGGCCTGTGAGATGGGGGGCCCTGGGTTCAAGGACACGTCCATGCTCCCCAGCCCTGGACTCTCAGTGAGCTCTCTCCCAATGTCACATTCTCACAGTTAGACCAGCCAGACACCCTCAAAGCAGAAAGGACCACATTCCGAGGTCCCAGTACCCAGCGCATGTAGGACACTGAGGCCCGAGTGGGCGGCGCCTGAGACACAGGGTGAGGCTCGGCCCAGTTGGGGCACCCAGGGCCCTCAGGTCCCCTCAGGGCTGAATCACACCCCACACTGGAAATGTCCCCCACTCCCAGGGGGTCTGTTCTTTGGGGTGTAGGGGACCCCTCAAAGCAGCCTGGGTCCCCGAACCTCAGGACGTTCGGCCCTAAGTTCTGGTCCCCACATGCCAGCTGTCGGGAAGCGAAGAACCAGAACAGAAAGCACGGGTGCGGCCCCCTCCCCGCCAGAGGAGCCCCCCCTGACCCCCGCTTTCTGGGGGAGCCCCCGCACCTGCGTCCCTCCACTTCCGGCTGACAGGCTGTGCTCACCCTTCAGCCTGGCTTTGCTCAGCAGAAAATGGAAGAAACAGCAACTCCGACTAGAAAACATTTTTTTCCCTCCTGTTACGAGTTTTTGAAAACTGAAAACTGACCCTAAATGCAGGAGAGGCTCCTGGACAGTTCACAGGTAGTTCCTCGTTCCTGGGACAGCAGCCTGGAGCCTGGAGCTGCCGCTAAAACCACACCTCGGGGGCCAGGAAGGAATGGCTCCAAATGCCCCAAGTCCTTTGTGACTCGGAAGTTGGCTTCAAGGTGGGACGGTGCCTGCCCAGACGTCTCAGGGAGCCGGTGATGGCTGCCCCAAAGGACAAAGAAAGAACTAGATTCTCTCCCGGGGGGCGAGGCACGGCTAAGCTCTGGGTGGGGGTGAGGGGGGTGCAGACGAACATATGCGGCCCCAGACAGGCCCCGCTCCCGACTCCCAGGGAAATATGGCAACTGTGAAAGGATCTGCCGAATCCAAGGCCCAGAAAAGCCAAGTTAATTTTAAAGGGACACACACATGCCGCATCTCCAAAGGCTTCCAGCAAAGGCGTCTGACAGCCAAGACGCCTGTCGGTCATGAGGAAGGAGGATTTTGGCAGGGGACACGGCAGGGAAAGTGGGTGACTTGGGATCAGCACATAGGACAGAAGCTGCTATGGGCACCGTCTTCGTGGAAAATGTCAGGGACGGACCCCCGGGAAGCCATTTAAAATCCTGTATGCTTCAGTGGGTGATGAAACGAGGATCTGAATTTGCCAGAACCCCGGCAGGCACAGAATCCAGAGCCGGCAACCGGGCGCCCAAAGGCACCGAGGCCTCGGCCTGGGATGCGCCTTGGTGGGGGTGGGGCGGGCAGGAGGGTGAGCCGCAGGCTCTGAGCCCACCAGGGAAGGGCCCTCCGTGGGCTCCCTCGTGGCTCAGAGCTTCACAAGTGACATGGGACGGGAGTGTGGGCCGTGAGGGCGAGGGCCGGGAAGGACGAGCGTGAGGAGCGGCTGCATGGGTCAGTCGGTGGTCAAGGCAGGCTGGGCCCAGACAGACGCTCCACATCCCCACAGGACACTCCGCCCGGGCTAGAAGCTTCTATACTCGAAGGGACAGGCCGGGCATGGCAGCAGGTGCCTCCGTCAGGACAGGGTGGCCAAGCTTACCAGCCCTCTGGGAGCCTCAGCGTGCCCAGGGCTGCCAGGAGCAGGGGGATCTACCTGCCTCTTAGCCCGGCCGATGCTCCCCACCTCTGCACCCAGCCAGTGCTCCCCGCCTCTGTGCCCAGCCAGTGCTCTCCACCTCTGCATCTAGTGAGTGCTCCCCGCCTCTGCGCCCAGCCAGTGCTCCCCATCTCTGCACACGGCCAGTGCTCCCCGCCTCTGTGCCTGGCCAGTGCTCCCTGCCTCTGAACCCGACCTGGTGCTCCCTGCATCTGTGCCCAGCCAGTGCTCCCCACTTCTGCTCCTGGCCAGTGCTCCCCACCTCTGCGCCCAGCCAGTGCTCCCCGCCTCTGCGCCCGGCCAGTGCTCCCTGCCTCTGCGCCCAGCCAGTGCTCCCCGCCTCTGCGCCCGGCCAGTGCTCCCTGCCTCTGCGCCCAGCGAGTGCTCCTCACCTCTGCGCCTGGTCAGTGCTCCCCGCCTCTGTGCCTGATCAGTGCTCCCCACCTCTGCACCCAGCTAGTGCTCCTCGCCCCTGAACCCAACCCGGTGCTCCCCACATCAGCACCCAGCCAATGCTCCCCGCCTCTCTCCCCCTGCCCCAGGTGGGCCCTGCCCCCACCCCGGCGTGCACGGCTCCCACCTTTGGTGGGCCCCTTCCGGCTGAGCACGGCCTGCTGCTCCTCGGTGATGTTGAGCCTCCGCACCACGTCGGCCAGCGCGGATTTGAGCAGCTGGATGTCGTCCTCCTGCATCTGGACTCGCTGCTCCAGGGAGGCGATGCGGTCGGTGACCTCCATGCTGCTGGCGGCGGACGTGCTGTCATCTGCGGGGACAGGGACAGGCAGGTGAGCCCAGGGGCTGTGCATGCGCAGGCAGGACCCTGTGGTCTTACTGTTCCAGGAAAACCAGAACGTGGGGCCTGGAGGCCTGGATGCCGGGAACGTGGAGAAGTCCCAGAAGGGGCCCGGAGGGAGGGGTCCCCAGACTCGGGGACCCGGGAACTGGCCCTGCCTGGAAACGGTCCCGTCCACCCAGCGCAGCCGAGCGAGGCGACTGCCAGGACAGGGGAGCAGCTCTCAGCAGAGGGGCGTTACGGGACTGCAGTCTCCCTGACGTGGCCCAGAGCAAGAGGACAGGGGCAGGGTGTCTTCTTTGCACACGGCCGACCCAAGTTTGAACCTCAGCACCCCACACAACCCCCCAAGGCTGCCAGGCGTGGTTCCTGAGTGCAGAGCCAGGTATGTGACAATCTTCTGTAAGGCAAGTAAGGATAGAGACTTACAAATGAATCTCGGGAGACGGCAGCACGCCGCAGAAATGTCCCCCCAACCCTGCACCACGTTGATTTCCCTGGGGCACCTCAGAGGGGGGCAGGGGTGCCCCTCCACCTACTCCTAATTAACCCCAGCAGCTGCAAGTCTCCAGAACCCAATCACCGCGACACTCACAGCCGACCTTCACAGGCTCTTCCCCGAGTCCCCCACGCAAGAGAATGAATCGGCTGAAAAACCCAAGCACGCAGGACCAGTGACCGAAAACTCCAAGCTTCACAGAGTCGAGGATGGGCCACCTCCCCCCATCTCCCCGCCCTTCCGGTTTCTTAGCAGTCATGCCCAAGAACTGCCTCTGAGTGCCACTTAAACACATTGAATGATCCAGAGACTCACAAATGGATCTCTGAAAAGAGCAGCACCTCGCAGAGATGCCTCTGGACTCCAAACACTAAAAAAATTTAGAATTCCAGGAGCACGCAGTCACTTTTGCGGCCACATTCACCTCATACTATTCATGGCAAGCATCGTAGCACTGGAGCACTGTCCTCCCGTTGTTCATCGATTTGCTCGAGGGGGCCCAGTAACATCTCCATTGTGAGACTTGCTGTTACTGTGTTTGGCATATCGAATACATCATGGGTAAGCTTGCCAGGCTTTGCCGTGCGAGCAAGATACTCTCAGTAGCTTGCCAGGTTCTCTGAGAGGGGAGGAGGAATTGAATTCAGGTTGGCCGGGTCGGCCGCATGCAAGGCAAATGCCCTACCCACTGTGCAATGCAAAATAAATTGTTTAGCATCTGCCTAAGGGGCAGGCTGGGGTGGGTGGGAAGAGGCAATGGTGGTAGGGTTGGTGTTAAAATATTGAATATAAACCATTATTGTGAACAACTTTATGAAAAATTTAAAAATTAAAAAAAATTATTTTTAAGAGAAAAGTAAGTATACCTGCACCAACAGAAATATCAGTTAAGGGGGCGGTGAGACATCTCAAGGGGCTGGAGTGCAGGTGCCTATGTGAGGGGCCCAAACCCAATCACCGGAGTACCTGTGAGCGACCCCCAAGGACCACTGTGGAAGGAAACTGACCTTCAGTAGAGCAGCAAGAGGTCTCGGCAGAGAAGTGGACGCAAAGCAGAGGGAGCCAAGTAGGTCGTGACGTCTACTGCAAATCACGGCCACTGTCACTGTCCTCCCATTGTTCATCGATTTGCTCGAGCAGGCCCAGTAACGTCTCCATTGTGAGACTTGTTGTGACTGTGTTTGGCATATCGAATACGTCACGGGGAGCTTGCTGGGCTCTCCGAGAGGGGCAGAAGGATCGAGCTCGGATGGCCAGGTCGGCCGCGTGCAAGGCAAACGCCCTACCTGCTGTGCTATCATTCCAGCCCGCTGCAAATTACAGAACTGAAAAATACCATTTCGGAACTGAATTCCGCTGCCCTAGCCGGGAATGCTGAGCAAGCCTGCGTCACCGAAGCAGGGAGGGAACATGAAACAGACCAGAGCCGTGGGGACCTCGGTGACCCCGAAGAGCCCCAAAGAGTTGTCTAGAATGGAAGAGAATGATAACAGGAGAGGGAAGTTCTGAAAGGAGAACGGCTTGAAAACGGCCTGATTCAACAAAGCAGAGAGGTGTGAAATGACAAAATAAACACAAACGCTCATGCGGAGGGGGTCAACACCAAGCTTCGGACTCATGACAAGCAGCAGAGGAAACATTGTTCTAGAAGCTTCTGGGTGCTCAGGGCTTACCCTTAACTCTGTGCTCAGGGACCACTCCTGGAGGGCTCAGGAGACATGTGGTAGGGTGTCAGGGCTTGAACCCAGGTCAGCCACAAGCAAGGTAAGTGCCGTACCCACTGTCCTCTGGCTCCCATAGAAAATGACATCTGTTCCAAGCGACAATGTACCAGCTGGGGTCTGTCCAAGCTGGGGACCCTGGCGGGAGGGGAGGGCACTGTTGGGTGAAGACAACGCGAGCGGCACCCTGTACCCGCTCAAACGGCGAGCAGGGAAGCAGAATGAAGGCTCTGTCCGAGAAATGAAGATGGAAAAACTAAAATGCCAAGGGGAGTTCTTCGGGGTTAGGAAAAATGACACATGAGACAAACTCACAGCAAGGGGATGACAGACATCTGGACAGGATTAGGAATTTCTCTTTATTTCCTGGTCTGGAACTAAGTGGGTTACGCGGTTGCCCTGCACATGGCTGACTCGGGCTTTATCCCTGGCATCACAGATGCTCCCTGATCACCAGGAGTGATCCTTGAGCATGGAGTCAGGAGCCAGCCCTGAGCACTGCCAGGTGGAGCCTCCACAAGCCCCTTAGCCCCTCAAAAGAATTCTCTTCTTTAGGGGCTGGAGCAACAGCACAGGGTGTTTGCCTTGCACGTGGCCAACCCAAGTTCGATTCCCAGCATCCCATATGGTCCCCTGAGCCAGGAGTAATTCCTGAGTGCAGAGCCAGGACTAACCCCTGTGCATTGCCGGGTGTGACCCAAAAAGCAAAATAATAATAATAATAATTTTCATCTTTAGATGGGAGAGGACAGCATGTCCCCCCAACGGGAAGCACGGCTCCCGCAGGGCAGAGTGAAGCGATTGTGGGGGCATAGGTCGGGTCCAGGAGCTCCCAAACCCGCGCACATGCCCATCTTTTCTGACCGTGCACACACGGGCCCATCAGAGCCCCGACTACCGACACGACGCCCCGACGCCCACCGGGACGCCAGCTCGACCCAGCGGGACCCTCCCCTGATGGGTAGAGGCGCGGGCTGCGGTAGGCAAAGTGTGAGGGCGCTCGGGACCCCCCCACGTCTGGGGGATAACGACGGAACCCCCTCCCCACCACAGGATGGCGGGGAAGGGAGGGCTCTGCTACCGGTGGCTGACAGCATAGGAGAGGAGGGGCAGCAGCTGGGGGATCCGGTACCGCAAAGGTACCCCAAAGGGCTGGAGCGATAGCACAGTGGGTAAGGCATTTGCCTTGCATGTGGCCGACCCTGGTTGGCCCAGGTTCGATTCCTCCGGCCCTCTTGGAGAGCTTGGCAAGCTACCGAGAGTATCTCGCCCGCACGGCAAAGCCTGGCAAGCTCCCCGTGGCGTATTCGATATGCCAGACACAGTAACAAGAAGTCTCAGGATGGAGATGTTACTGGGCCTGCTCGAGCAAATCAATGAACAACGGGAGGACAGTGCTACAATTCATCTTTAGACATTCCTCTTAATGTTCTCATAAGTCCTTAAAATCTTAAGAAAAAAATTATAGGATTGTCTTAGGCAGTTTATACGGTGTGTCAATGTAATCCTTATAACTATCATCAAAGCAAAGGTAATGTGGAGTTGCAAGATTGTAAGATTTTAAAATTTTTACAGAAAACACATAATATGAACTGCAAAGGATCCACAGAGAGTTAAGGATGTGAACCCCTAAAAAACTGAGCAGAAGTGGCTTCCCCCAAACTCTCTACCAAAGCGGGTCAACAGGAAGGTGGGGGGACATACGGCGTGGCCCCATCAGGAGCAACTGCATCACACAAATGGAAAAGCCAGGGGGGCCGGGACAGAACGCCAGACCCCCCCCCCCCCACGAGGGACTCTCCAAGGCAAAGACACAGCTGGCCAAGAAGCAAATACAGAGGGAGACGGGATGCAGAAGGGGGACCAGCATGGCAGTGCCAGCACCAGGGATGGGCATCAGCCGAGAGGAAGTGGACCGTGCCATGGCCAGTCAGTAGGATGGTTTACAGTCCATTAAGCCCAGCTAGCCAGCATTGATGTTAACATGGGACCAGCTACACTGAACCCAAAGATCTCAACGCCCCTCTTTCTTTATTTTCTTTTTTTCTTTTTGGGTCATGCCCGGCAATGCACACGGGCTCCTCCTGGCTCATGCACTCAGGAATTACTCCTGGTGGTGCTCAGGGGACCGTATGGGATGCTGGAAATCGAACCCGAGTTGGCCACATGCAAGGCAAACGCCCTATCCACTGTGCTATGGCTCCAGCCCCTCAACGCCCCCCTTTCTTACAGCTTCTGGCACAAGTGACGAAAGGCAGCAAAGATAAAGAAGCCCCCAAGTGCCCCCCAAACAGTCTCTGTGCTGGACCAAGAGCTCCATCCCCTTAGCACGTGCACACGGTCCTGGAGTCAGACACCCCATGCTCAGGAGCACACAGGGCTGCAGGAAACCGCCAGCAGGAAAAAGCATCTTCTCTGGCCCAGGGTTCAAAGGAAATCAAATACAAGAACCAGGAAGACCCCAGGCAGCTTGGAAATGAAACGACCAGCTTCATGTTGACTGTTCGGTCAGAAGGATGTCAGAGCAACTTAGAAGGCTATTTAATGAATTTCATGCCCAATTCAATCAGCCTAATCAGTGGCTGAATAAACAGCAGTACTCCTACATCAAAAAAAAAAAGGCTATTTATGTGAGTAATAGTAAAAATGCAGCATATCTGATAGATGGAGTGCAGCTGAAATAAATCTTTAAGGGCAATTCATCACTTTTAATGCCTTTATGGGAGAAAATGGGGGGACACTCCAACCAG